CCTATCAGGTAATGAAAAGTTGTACACACACTTGTGGTCTTCATGCTCACTTGAACACTTGGGCCAAATACAGGAAATACGTCATATAAGTAGTCAAGTGGTCAAGTGCAAAGACCGCAAGTGTGGGTATTTGGACAAGGCTACTCTTTCCTATGGAAGACTCTTTACTCGAACATCACGTGTTGCTCAATCCGACGCATTTCATTGGCTGTTTTCGAGGCGGGAGTTTCAGATTCCTGGACATCCGTGATAACATTTTTTCGTATTCCATGTCACAGCGCTCTTCTTTTAGTAAACTGGACAACCTATAAACATCTAAAAAATGTACTATTTTGTCGCACCGGAGAGTATTTTAAACACTTACGCCAGTCTAGTGGTTTGAAAAGGGGTGTTAGTGGGATCTAAAGAGCTGGCAATTGGATTACCGCTTTATTAGACAACAACTACTGTCAACTCTCAACCAGTAGGTCTCGTGCACACGTTCCCTCGAGAACGTCAACTTAATCCGAGCTCGCGCTCGTCTCTTTCAACGGTCAATTTTGGGATATCATGAGCTCTTAGTTCCGCACAAAACTTGGTAGAAATAGTTATATATCTTCACCTGGACATGGATAACTACCGTCATCAGCGATATGAAGGCTCGAATCAAGGGAGGGAAAATAAAATCCATCGAAAGAAAGGATTTGGAGTCGGAGTGTCATCTCAGTGCAGTTCAAGTGGGGATGACGGAGAGAAGAAACCTAAATTTGTAAGTTACACTTGAAATAATTATATAAAGTGTCTCTGTTCTCATAAATGGTTATTATTCTAGTAAATTATCATATGTCCCGCCCTGCTACTGTCAGGCCTCTGGTAATGAATCACTGGTTTTTGAGTATTAGGAAAATGTTTACGTATTCATCTGTGTTTTGGTGCAATGTCTTGCTTTTATGTTCTTACATTAATATTTTCTTGTCTGTCACTCTATATGGGTCAGCACTGTTAGATACTAAAATAACGTGTCAAATATAGTTAACCAGTATTGACATATCTAACACTGAATGAGTGACTGAAACTGAGTTTCAGCAAAACAATTAACAATCACACACACGTATTAAATTATGTAAAATATGTAACCATCCCAAACAGCAGCCTAGCTTTGTTGAACTCATATATGGTGAAATATGGAAGTAAGATTTTGAGTTGATTTTATAAATGTTTTCATAGCCCAACAATGTTGACAAATTGTAGAGAATGTAGAGACACCGCTTTAAATGATAATTTAGATATAGTAGTCAAGGCCTAATAATAATGGTTCCTTAAGCTGTATAAGTTGTGTGTGTGTGTGTGTGTGTGTGTGTGTGTGTATGTATAGAGTGATTATATAGTGATATATACTGAGTTGCTATATAATTTCATAATTTTGATACAATAAGAAAATGAGATTGATTAATGTCAGAGTAGACATGTTGCTGATGATTGTTTAGTGAGGCTTTATGATGTCATTTTATTATTTTAGAAGGACAAAACTGGTTCATTATTCTACAACGTAACATGTCAATGAAATTCAAGGTATATCCACACAAAGATTGTATGTTCATTATTAGAACTTTGTCAAGTTAGTCTGTGTCTGCTCTGTCAGTGCTCTTTTGTTTCTTCAGTAATCAAATGTCTTATTTTATGCAAATTGTAGATATTTCTTAAAATTGACAGCATGATGTTTTTTTATTAGATGGATTTAAGCAACAGCAACAATTATTTTTTGTTATGTTTAAACCGACAGCAGAGAGACAGATGGATAAAACACACCCACACACATTGAACCCCTCTTTCAATGCCATTAACTTAGTTGTTGACTGCCAGAGCTAAATCAAAGGATAAAATTAGCTCACGGATAAGACAGAATTATCCAGTCTTGCTTTAGTGCTGGTGGAGTTACAGTATTGTTTTTGAATGCCCACCCAACATGTGCCAATATCAGATGATGGCCTTTTACTTTTTTTTTTAAATATCACCATGTGGTTTAAGAGAGGGGTTTTAAAACATTTGATGCCAAGTACCCCAAAATACCTTGCTAAAATAACAAGGCAGCTATATACACTTTAAAAATATGTATGATGTTTTAAAATGTTTTAGAAAGAAGTCTCTTATACTCACCAAGGCTGCAATTATTTGATAAAAAACAACAACAACAGTAATTGTGTATAATAACAATAATATTTTCTTTTGAATATATTTAAAATGTAATTTATTCCTGTGATGGCAAATCTGAATTTTCAGTAGCTATTACTTCAGTCTCAGTGTCACATGATCCTGAAGATATCATTCTATTATGATTTGGTGCTCATGAAACATTTCTTTTTATTATAAATGTTGAAAACATTTGTGGTTTTTAATATTTTTATGGAAGCTGTGATACCTTTTCTTGATTCTTTGATGAATAGAAAGCTCTGAAATTGAATTCTTTTAAATTTAACAAATGTAATAATTTTCTTTAAAACCTAATGCCTTTATTGTATCACAGTGGGCCTCATTTATCAATCTAACGTAGAAACGGGCAGAGATCCGTGCGCACAAATCAATTTACGACAGAGTTCACATGTGATTCATGAAACATTCGTATGCCGCCAATCTCATCGTACGAATGATCGTGTAGCAAATTAGCTCAAAAGGGAAATGTATATAAATAATTACAGTTAATTATGAATAATTACAATTATTTATATCAGCTGCCAGTAGTAACTGTAGCACAATTAAATTGCCATGAACCAATGTGTTCGTCCAGCGAACATTCAGTGTAAATTCATATCAACTCTAGGAAAGGATCTTTCCGTGGCCACAGAAAATACTTTCATACAGTACAACCCTCTACATTGCGAGTAAATCACTCGCATATGCGACTAAATCTTCACTCTGGCGGCTAAATGATGTCTAAAATTAGCCAATTGCTAATAAATTCTCAGATTTTACTCGCCAGTATATGAGTTGGAGGCTAAGTATAAGTTTAGCTCAGATATATTTTCACTCGCCGAACACTCTCTGACTGAGCGCATCAGAGTTTCACTCTCCGCTAAGCGATCTGTGCTGTTTTTCAGTTCATCTGAATGGATGTTCAACGCACAACGTACCGTAAACTCTAGTGTGAAGGCGCACGACTCGCCGTCGCTTTGTTTCACACACACGCAGCGAGAGAGGGAGAGAGAGAGAGTAGCAGAATTAAATTGCCATCAACCAATCTGTTCGTCCAGCAAACATTCAGTGTAAATTCATATCAACTCTAGGAAAGGATCTTTCCGTGGCCACAGAAAATACTTTCATACAGTACAACCCTCTACATTGCGAGTAAATCACTCGCATATGCGACTAAATCTTCACTCTGGCGGCTAAATGATGTCTAAAATTAGCCAATTGCTAATAAATTCTCAGATTTTACTCGCCAGTATATCTTCTTCTTGTACGATTTTATGGCGGTTGACAAGCCAACTTATGGTGTATTACCGCCACCAACTGGACTGGAGTGTGAAGCATTAACGGGAAAGAGGGAAAACCCAAAAAAAAAACAACCATTTAATAAAAAAAACAAAAACCTTCCATAAATAAATAAAACAACCGGTAGTATTATTATGACATTTAAATTCTACTTTCTAATCCTGTTATCTTCAGATAACTAAGAATTTCTCTCATAGTACTTGTCTGTCCTGAGGCACAACTTAAAAGATTTGATATAGTGAAATTAATTACTCCTATGTTTAACGGAGTTCCTTTGGAATTCTTTTAAGAACTACCGCTTTCTCCGGTAGTGGGCGGAACTAATGCGCAAACGGCAATCTCATTGGCTGGCGCTCACCTATTATCGTCCCTGTTTTGATTTCAGCAAATCAGTTCGAGCGAACGCACACAACCTGATTAATATTCATGAATCCAGTAGCTCATTAATCCTTGGTGCGTTTTATATTGTTCTTATTAGAA